TCGGGTAATTTAACCACTTCACCACCAACGTTGTTTAATCAACGGTGTCGACAGGATATTTCTGTTCCGCAATCCCAGTAACTGGCGCGGCAACCAACAATGCTTTTAAACATGTGTTAAAACTATTTCCACGATCCCCGTGGCTAACCCCAACCCCTCACAACAATGTTAACAGTGAGATACAGTAATTGAATTGGTGAGTTTGATTTTGTTTTAATACCAAGAAGACATTGAAGAAAAATAGAGGAAAGGAAATTCTACATACAAGAGGTAATAATAATATAATAATAATCGTTATTACCTTTTAATAATACAGGTCTCACATAGGCCTACCATGATTCATTTGCAGTATAGAAATTATATATATATGTAACTTAATGCAATTTAGTGTACAATGATACAGCATAAATAACAGCATAGGTATTAACTTAATATCTATATTTTTGGCAAAGCCTATTGGTATATTGCTGAAACTGAATTCTGGTTTATACCACTAATAAAGTATGTTTATGGCTACTTAAAATGTGTCACCTATCTTACTGTTTTCTCTCATTCAAAAGTCCAATCCTCAAGTCCATTTAAATTTTTTTCCTAACTATGTAATCGTGAAAGTTTTACTTTTAAATGTAATAAATAGTAATATTAACATTGGCCACTAAGCTGTGCGACATTTTGGTTACAAGAATAGCATATAATTTTGTCAAGTTTATAAGCCAGCTATACATTACTTTAACAGTTTACATTATTAAAGAAAGTGCGATTGATTACTATTAAACAGCTTCGAGTCTATGCAAATGGTTTTATCGAGCCAAGACACAAGCTATTGTCTCCAAGTGTACTTTTTAATGAAGGGATTGTTAAATTTTTCTTTTATTCTGTATGTTGATTCTTATTATACAGCTTATAATTATTATACCCTTAACTATTGGTACAAGTAGACCATTAAACATCACCATGTTAGAAGTTTTTGCCTGTTTTAATCAAGTTTGTCTTGAATTATGCGCTGATCTAAATTACTACATAATTTCTGTCTAATACACAATGTTTTTGGCAAATTAGTCCTGTTTGATTGTCAAACTGGTGGATTGACTCAATATGAGCTATAGCAACAACTGTTATGACTCATAAACTATTTCATAAAAAAATATTTAGAAAATAGGATTTTAGATACTAGCGCATTCTGTGACTGGCTCACACGACTACGTTTAAAAAAAATAATATATTTTGGCAAAAGCTGGTCCATATAGGTGGAATGTAGGATGTCTACTTCTGTATCCAATTGTCAATTATTATATCTGATTGACTGTTACTAAACACTGTTTGAAATTAATATTTTGATTTTCTTTACTATTTTGATTCATTTAGCTTAATTATGAGGGTTGTTTTCAAGTTAACTATCAAAATGTGTATGTTTTCTCAGGCAAATGCCACGTTTACGGAGAGGTGGGGCCAATCTTGGGCGACGCACCGTTAACGCATCCCGTCATGTTTGGCGGGCGACTACAACTGATGAAGAGTATGCTCAGAGGTTTAAGCAGAATTTGGATGAACTTTCGTATCAACCATGCTCAATCTGTAAACGCTTGGACATAGTTAGCAATGATAACTACATTTGTACATCATGCATCAAAAATCCCGAAAAATTCTCTTCGGCAAACAACATGCAACCATCAATCGTTCCTGCAGAACTCCAAAATCTTTCAATGATTGAACAAATGTTAATAGCTCGAATCCACCCTGTCATGCGGGTATACCAGTTTAAAGCGTGCAGATCATTAGGTCAATATCATTACAAAGGACATGTAATAAATGTTGAACAAGATATAACTGATATCGCTACATCGCTGCCAATCGCCCCTTCACGCCTTGGGATTGTGATTGTACGCCGCGCAGGAGTAACAGGTTATTCCGATTTCCGTGTGAGGAAGCAAAAGGTCCTACAAGCACTTCATTGGCTACAAACACATAATCAATATTATGCTGATGTTCATATAGATATGGACGTTATTGAGTCTTTGCCATTGGATGACAGTGTCGCTGATGAATTAAGATATATTGACGAAGGTGGTTTATCTAATGAATCATTTGACAAAGATCATATTGAAGAAACAGCAGTTCCACTAATTCCGAGACAAAGTCAAGAATCCGCTATAATAAACCAAATAAAATGGCCAAGAGCTTCACCTATTCCCATCAATGAGCATTGTATAATGATTAGCATCATGAATACAATGCAAAGACACGATGCCTGTCGACAGAGTGCTATATTCGCTAAAAAAAATGACTTTTGTGGTAATATAGCACAGTTAGAAGTAGAAGTAGCTAGAAACCCGTCAATAATAAAACGTTTGCTGACATGGGGTTCCAAAATCCGTGGCACTTCATCATTTTGGTACCAAAGACGTTTAGAGCTTCAGTCAATGGTTAATCAGCTGGGCGTACCAACATTGTTTCTTACGTTAAGTGCAGCAGACCTTTGGTGGAGTTGTCTGGCGAGGCATTTTGGTATATCTGTTGAAGAATTAAATTTACTTACCGAGAAGCAAGCAAGCCAAGTTATGCAAGAAAAACTTAGTGAAAACCCACTTATTGCAGACGAGTACTTTTCAAAGCGTGTTTGCATTTTTATGGACATATTGAAGGAAAAGTTAAAGATAACAGATTTTTGGTGGCGTTTTGAATACCAACACCGCGGTAGTCCTCACGTTCATGCTGTTCTTTGGCTTGAAAATGCGCCTGATGTCCGTACATTCGATACTGCATCAATTGATGATTTAGCAGTTCATAAGGCGTATTATGACACTATCGTGTCAGCTTACAACCCTGGAATAGACGCACCAAGAGCTGAAAAGCATCCTTCAAGTGTTTGGGCAACTGATATAGTTCTGGGAGATCCAATACATTTTGCACAACTATTGAACAGAGTGCAGCGACACACTCAACACAGTGTTTACTGTCTAAAAGATCCCTCACATCCACAAGAATGTCGCTTTAAATTTCCAAAACCAAAATTGTTGGACTCTACATTGTCAAGAGACGAACAAGGAGTTTGGCAATATAAATCAAAGCGTAATGATGAACTCTTGAATGACCACAACCCCTTTGTGTCCCAACTGTGGCGAGCAAACACTGATTGCAAGATCATAGCATCTGAACACGCTATTGTAAACTATATATCGAAATATGCGACAAAAGGAGAACCCCAGTCACAAGATTTTCAAACACTTTTCAAAGAAATCATGACTAGCTGTACACCCAATGATCACGCAAAAAAGGCATTCACCAAAATGTTAACTAAAGTGATAGGTCAACGAGATATTTCAGCATGCGAAGTCATGCATCTCCTCACGGGCGATCCTCTGTACCATTCCAGTAGGCAGTTTGTAAAGCTATACATTTCTACTGATGACTATGTTGCTGTGGCAAATACAAGTACAGATACAGATGAGTTTATACAAACTTCTATCATGGATCACTATGCTATGAGATCAGCAACACTTGAGCCAATGACGTTATGCGAGTTTGCCACAAAGCACAAGATTGTTCGTGGTAGGCTTATCAACCACAGAAAATCACGTGTCCTTCAGCTCCGTCCGGTAGTAAAACCTGGAATAAATGAAGAAAATGATGAAATTTACTACAAGCAAAAATTACTGATGCACATTGCATGGCGAAACTGCGAAGCTTTAAAGACACACACAACATGGAAAGAATCCTTTACTTCACGGAACCTTTCATTGTGGGAACTACCAGAAATTGAAGACATCGATACTGACCACGTAGTACTACCAGAAGAAGACCACCATGACTGGCAGGAGTTGGCAAGAACACTTCCCAACCAAGCACCTCAGGATGTGATACTAGGTTACCGTGATATGGATCGAGAGTACAATGGGTTTGGCACTTATGACAAATATCCTGGACTAGAAGAGAACTTAGATTTCATACAGAAACAGAAAGAAATACAAGTAAATATTACAAACGATCATTCTAATAATGTGTTATCGCCTAATGAGGGTCAACAGAAAATACTGGACCACCTAGCACAGCAACTAGCGAATGAATCAAGTGAAAAGCTTACACTCGTGCAAGGGGGGGCTGGAACCGGAAAGTCATTTATTATAAATAAAATGGTACATATGATTGAATCCCTGCATGGTAGCTCAAGTGTTATTTTGATGGCGCCAACAGGTGTGGCTGCCAATAATATAAACGGACAAACAATACACAACGCACTACATATAGTCCAAACACGAGGTGGTACTGTTTCCGATCTTACAGGTAAGGCGGAGCGCCAATTACAGGAAGATTTCCGTACTGTCAAAGTAATTATTTGCGATGAGATGTCAATGGTTGGCACTCGAATGCTCTCCATGATAGACAAACGTCTGCGTCAAGCATTCACTAATCGTCAAGAATTACCTTTTGGTGGTTGTATTGTCTACTTTTTTGGTGATTTCAACCAGTTGCCACCAGTTCTGGATCGCACATTACTAGCTCCAGCAGACCCAAGAAACGTTTCTTCAATTGAAGGAAGATTTCTTTTTGAGCAGTTCAAAACAGTATTTGAGTTGAAGCAGGTGATGCGTCAAATTGGAGATGATCAGAACTGTTTCAGAGAAACTTTAAAGCGTATGGCTCTAGGCCAATTAACTCTATCTGACTATGAATTGCTTAAAACACGATTTTCATCAAACAACGTTGCTACAGTAAAAAGTTTCACAAGCGCAATTCGAATAAAAGCAAGGAAAGACGCCGTACATCAATACAATCAACTCATGTTACGGTCTTCAAACAAGCCTGTTGCTTTAATAAAAGCAAAACATAACAACTTAACAGCATGTGGTGCATCAGAGGATGAAGCCCAAGGACTACAAGCAACTCTGCAGCTATCTCAAGGTTGTCGCGTAATACTACGCCAAAACATCTGGACCTCCCAAGGCTTGTGCAACGGCAGTCTGGGGAATGTTGTTGATATTGTCTATGGACCTAATAGATCGATGGACGACTTTCCAATTTGTATTTTGGTCCATTTTGATGGATACGAAGGTCCAACTTTTAATGGCTCTCTTCCGATATTACCACTCACTGTTGGATACCGAAAAAACAACGTGTCCTGTACAAGAAGACAGTTTCCCTTGCAAGTTGTCTATGGTATTACTGCCCATAAGGCTCAGGGAATGACAGTTGACAAAGCAGTAGTTGACATTGGTACGACAGAGTTTGCCCTGGGTCTTACGTATGTTGCAATGTCACGGGTTCGGTCCATCGAAGGACTTATAATTGAACCAGGCTTTTCTCAAGACCGCCTTCTCAAGTGTATCAACAATAATGCGGGTTGGGAAACTAAACGTAGAGAACTGGCACGTCTGCGTTCACTTATACACCAATGAACACTATTATTATTCTTATTATTTCATTATTACTTATTACTCTGCAAAATTCCTATAAATTGATTTGATTTGATTTGAGTTCATGTATTTTTAACTGTGTGAATGTTTTCTTAACTTGTATTATGTAAATAAATGTTTTAAAAACTTAATATATATTAAATTAAAACTAATTATGACGTAAACAATAAATTTGTCGTTACATTTTTCAAAATTATTGATTAATGTGCTTGCTCCGCTCAATATTGCAAGCAGACAACTGCATTGTACTCCTAGTTGACATTTTAAATTTCAATTTTGAAGTTGCAAAAATACTAATAATTAAATTTAAATCTATACTATTATAAAAAAGAGGTGGTGTCTGTGGGTGTGTATGGGAAAAGTAAACGCGAAAACTACTGGTCGGATCGGGCTGAAATTTGGCATGATGATAGCTCACATTCCCGATTAACATATAGGCATATTTTTATCCCAAAAATCCTTTCGGGCTCCGCCCCAGTGGCTCTGGAGTTTCCCATGTTAACCTTATGAGAAATGAAATTATTGAATCTTAACAGCTGTTTCAATTAAACAAGTTGGTTCTGTTCTGTGATGTTCAATAGCATTAAAGTTACAAGGATTACCAACAGGGTGCAGCACTAGCACTATTATTTCTTTTACATTTATGACAACAGCAAAAGGTGAGTGAGCGTAGCGAACGAACTTCAACCTGGAGGCGAGTGAGCGTAGCGAACGAGCTAACCTGAAGGCAAGTGAGCGTAGCGAACGAGCTAACCTGAAGGAAAGTGAGCGCAGCGAACGAGCTCCAACCTAAAGGTGAGTGAGCGTAGCGAACGAACTTCAAAAAGAACCGAAATTTCTTAAACCATGTCCTCACTCATAACTGCAATAAGCATTTGATACTTATATGCCAACCCCGTACGAAGGACGGGTACTCTGCTAGTAGCTTTATATTAAACTCTTCTTTATATTAAATCACAAATCCTTTCATCTTCAGTTTTTTCACTCACAATAAATCATTAGCAAAACTAAGTCAGCTGTTATAAACTTTAGAAATATTGCTGTGCCTTATCAATACAGTCTTTTGAAATACTAAAAAAAACTATATCTATAGGTACTATAAAAATTTTCAAACAAATAATTCACCATTAAAGACAGCAGACAAAACTAATATGATTATCAAAGCATCAAGGACTAAAAAATGTAATAGCAAATACAGTAACTTATATGTTTTATTGCATCTCTGATTCTACTATCCAAAAATATCAACAAACAACTTAATATACAAACCAGTTCTTTTAATCAGTTCCATCGTCCACTGCCTTTACATTTTCACACTTACCATTAAGAAAACATAGTAACAGATAATTTCATTGATTTTAGAAACAAAAGAACACTGTGTACTGTGTGTGATTAGTTTTATGATATTTTCCTTGGTTTAATTTAATCAGTGGTGTGGCAAAACACAAATAATAAATGTATCAAATAAAGTAAATGTGAACTGAAAGCTATGTTAAGATAAAATAAGAGTACTTTGTATTACCATTTGATAATCAAATATAGTTACAAACACATATACAACAGATTTTAGAAAACACAAATCAACGACAATTTAGTTATTTATGATATTCTTTAGTTTAATTTAAGCATAGGTTTAGCAAAACACAATAACTTAATTTACCTTAATGTACATATAAAAACCAACGTGATGTGCAAGTTGTTATGTTAAGTTAATTTAACACATGTGAAGCAGTTAGAATTTATTTAAAGTAGCCTCCAAATTCATACAAAATATCTATACATTGTAATTTTCATACTGTTTCCATGAAAACATATCAATAACATTATTTTCACTTAAGATTATTGACTTAAGAAGCTTTAAAAAATTCAAAGCAGAGCCGGAGTTGATACAGTAACGGTTATAAAATCTTTTTTTTTCCTATAATCATTGACATAGTTTTATAATAAATAATCCATGATAAAAGGTTAGATTAAAATAAACCTACCTCATATTTATGGAAAATATTATATTTAATTTCTTTGTATCAGCTGTCTGAAATTGTGAAATATGCAGTTTAGCAGTTCTTCTTGTTTATATTTAAATATCAAAGCAAATGTAAACAAACATTGTTAGTGTTCACATCACAGCATCACAGCCATGGAGACCAATCAATATCTATATCTATCTATCTATATATTAATAGGCAAGCATGTTTCTTTAAAACCTTTTTTCTCAGGTTGTGTGCATCGTGGGGTAAATCTGCGCATACCGTTAGAAAGCAATTTTCCTGTAGGTGTGCAGAATCCCTTTGTAAATTTAAATAGGCTCAAAGATAAGCACAAAAAATGAGTTTAAAAATTTGAAAAAATTAACATGGATCTTATGCGTTGCCATGCTGGTGACGAAATAACAACGAAATATAAACAGAAAATCAAAACAAATGGAAGAAACTCCAATCACATGTTTTATTTACAGTGTGGGGTGAAAATAGAGAAGTGAGTACATTACATATTTTTGGTCGAGTTTCAATAGGCAAGCATGTTTCTTTAAAACCTTTTTTCTCAGGTTGTGTGCATCGTGGGGTAAATCTGCGCATACCGTTAGAAAGCAATTTTCCTGTAGGTGTGCAGAATCCCTTTGTAAATTTAAATAGGCTCAAAGATAAGCACAAAAAATGAGTTTAAAAATTTGAAAAAATTAACATGGATCTTATGCGTTGCCATGCTGGTGACGAAATAACAACGAAATATAAACAGAAAATCAAAACAAATGGAAGAAACTCCAATCACATGTTTTATTTACAGTGTGGAGTGAAAATAGAGAAGTGAGTACATTACATATTTTTGGTCGAGTTTCGACCACTGGACGACCTCTCGTACTTATTTAATACGCAAGCAGATTTTTTGTGACAATTACTCCTCCGAAACTACTGAACCGATTGTCATGTTTTTGGTGTCATTGGAAAGAGCGTAACTTGAAGTTGTGCAGGAAACTTTCTTTTTAGGGGAATAATGAGAGAGTGAAGCCCTGGAGCCCTTTAAAGTTTCGTATTTCTCCATAAGATTAACATTGGAAACAAAAATTGTTATGAAACTCCAGCTGTTGTCAGAAATCAAAAGTGAGAAGAATAGCATAAAAATGTTAATTGTAGACAGTCAATAGGTTTGTTAATTTAACAGTTTGCTACAAATATTTGCTGACTTGGTTGATATTAGTTATAAAATAAAGCCTGTAATACTTAGCAATTGCTCGAGTTCGAGCAACAGGGACACTAGTACTTATTTAATACGCAAGCAGATTTTTTGTGACAATTACTCCTCCGAAACTACTGAACCGATTGACATGTTTTTGGTGTCATTGGAAAGAGCGTACCGGTAACGTGAAGTTGTGCAGGAAACTTTTTTTATAGGGAAATAATTAGAGAGTGAGGTCCTGGGGCCCTTTAAAGTTTCGTATTTCTCCATAAGATTAACATGGGGAACAAATATTGTTATGAAACTCCAGCTGTTGTCATAAACACTGTTCTGCTATTTAATTTGATTTGTTTACAAGGAGAATTGTTTCTTAGTGCCATGTGTCAATAAGTTATACTTTTGCATATATTTTAAATTATATACACTGTATAAAATGATGGTACTGTATTACATTAAGAGATATTCATTTAAATAATCAATAAGTACGATTGAGCCTTTGCCTATATGTTTCCTGGTAAGTATAGTATCTTAAAGAAAAACCAAATTATTATTTTCTGCATTCTCACCCCGTAGCGAAGCACGGGCAGAGCAACTAGTTTACTTTTAAAGTGTTCACCTCAGAACTTTTAAAGCCAAAGGGGCAAAGCCTACGGTCAGTATCGAAATGTTAATAATGGTCCTTCCTTGGTGTGGTAGCTATATTTTTTTTTAATTCAAGCTCAGTTGGTTAAGTAGTTCATGCGCCTATTAGTAACAAACATACATACAGACACCACTAGATTTTTATATAATAGTATAGATATCATTATTTGTTTAGTTCAAAAGTAATGGTAACAATACTATTAAAATAATTTTACGGTTTTCTTTTTACATAAAATTAAAAAGATGAATTAATAGTGTTACTGTAACCTGTATTTCATTACTAAATATTTAGAGTTCAACTATCAATTGGAGGATTTTTACCTTATGGATAAATTATACCAAGTAATATTCAAATGTCAAATTCATTTACCTGTATGAAATTCCTGTAATTTTATTAATAAGTCAGTTTAGTAGTCTACGATCCGTTTCGCGTAAACATCGACAACGTACTGTGCTCGACGACTACGCTAGCGCTCCTAACGTGTATCACCCTAACTAAGGCGCGCATCAGTTCGTCTAGTCACCACTAGGTATCACTGAGCCTAAATCTAGAGAGGTGTATTTATTTATCAATAATCTCAAATGGTCAAGGTACAAAAAACAAATTTAGCTTTAGTTGAATTAAAGTACCATTTATAAATGATAAACTAATGGAAGGTTTTGCGATTCAAAGCCCGGGTTGTTCACTATGAGATGTCTGTATCCGTTGATACCCGCAGTGATTTTTGGGTAGCCACATGACTACACCTCTTTTCGTCACGAAGATAGAATCGTTTTTGATTGTTTAATATTTAAATAATATTTAAAAAGCCGAGAGTCGTGTTTCTTGCCTGAGACCGATAATTGGCTTATAAACAAATCTATACTAATATACATTTATACAAAAATGAGAAGGTGTGTGTCTGTCTGTTACCTAATAACGCAAGAACCACTGACTAGTGTTCGGACATCGATAGATCACCATCGATGTTACCATCGATAGCAACATCGAACTATCACCATCGATGCTGCAAAACCATCGGTTCAAAAACATCGATATTTTCATGCGAAAAACATCGATGTTTTTAAGCGAAAAACATCGAAGTTTTCAACTTAATCATATCGAATTTTTGAATTTTATAATCTCAGTACTGTATTCCGTTATTCATTAAAAAATTCCGATATGA